CCCGCAGAATAACCAACTTTACAGTACCTGACAGTTATCCGATGACACTACTAGTATTAGGCAAATCGAGTTTATTGGTAACGTCTAAGCATTGACACTGTGACCTCAACCGGAAGTATGAAACAGATTAACATCAATAAAATATCATGCACTAATGAATACAAGAATAAATACGGACGCGGAACAATCAAAGCTAAGAAAGTGTGGTCTTGCGTGAACGTAAACCTTATTTTGTCATTATTTGCCATAACAACATTAAAAGATTTGGTTTATGTTTGGTTTTAAGAAACAACCGACACATTAAAATGTCAAAGGGTGAATTTTCAGCAGTACTAGTGGTGAACAATTTCATATAACTATATGCGAATTATTAGAACCGCTGATAGTGTCTAACCCTTAACGAAAAATAAAAGCCTTTGTCGTGGTTTAGTCTCAAAGCAGTGATTGTAAAGTATAAGTTTTAATAATTATTATGTATTTCATATAAAAGTAGCTATTGTCAGTTAGTTAGTTCTAAAACATCTTTTCCACTGCTTTACCTTTAAAGCAATTATTGTTAGAATGTTGCTAATCAAATAATTAGTACTCTTTAAAAATAACAACATTTAAACAAATTATAAGAAAGCAAATTATCCTTTAAGATGATAATTAAAAGTTTTAAACAAAACATCTAATGAATGCGAATTGTGTATTGATTATCAAATAATTAAGATTACTCCTCGTTTAAATAAAATGTCCGATAAAATGAAGTAGAGGAACGCTAACGACCGCAACATGCTACAAAAGAAGGGTATGTGACTGTTTTATTGTCAACGTAACCTAAACCTCACGGTTTGCCCTTCAACACACCAATAACCATTTTTAAGACTCGGCTTTTTTTCTTTATTGTGCAGCTTTTATTGGTGTCATTGAAATTGTATGAATGCTGGCAATGTCTTAACATTCCTGTTAATGCATTTTTAATTGATTATCTCAATTTTTGTATGTAAATATTGATCGAATCAAGCCGTTTTATCTGCCTGATATGACATTAAAGCTTTATATTTATTTTTCATAAAATAAATAATCGAGTACTCAGAAACCCTAGTAAACAATCTGTTTTTGCGTTTTTTGGATGGTGTGAGCACTGCAAATTTATAGATAGAAAATATACAATACATGGTACGTGGATGCAGATAATCTTGAAAAATATCCAACATCATCATTCAGTGAACTTATAATGAAAGAAAAGGTAAAGCCCTGGTAGCCAAAGTTAAAATATCACTTAAATTCTCGCTTTTCACTGTTATTAATGCAAATGCATTGTGTTAACGCTTCGTTGAATTATTATGTAAATCAAATGATTTTGTTACTTCGTCATTTGTGAACAACATGTAAATTGTCATAGAATAATGATGAAAAAACGCCAAAGACTACCAGAGTATGAATTTGCATGAGCTGTAGATTAACATTGTTATATCTTTTCCGCACATTATCCGGAATGAAAGGAATTCAAACTATTGAAATAGGTAAAAATGAAATTTCAGTGGTCGCCCAAAACGCCTTAATGATGCCTACTCTTCTTTTTTATATAAAGTACCATTTAATTATCTCTGACACCGGTCTAAATATTGTACAATTAACAGCATTAACCCGCTAAAAGATTAAAGAACTATTTTAATAACGGCTGAGATTTAAAGTTATCAAGTACGAAAACGTGTTATATGAGATTTTTGATGTCACTTGTAGAATAAAAACACAGTAGCGTTACATAATCATTTTAGAATAAAGATGATATTATATACTGTTTTCATTGAACGAACTGTATAAGATGATTTTGCTATTATTCTATTCATCGAGTTGAATACAGTTAGTAAAAATCCCACACGAATATAATATTATATTCCTCAAAGTAAACTGTTAACATTCAGAATAACCATTGTTGTCATTGACGCGCCTAAAGTGAAATGCTAACGTTTAGCGCGCTTTTACACAACGTTTGTATTATGCAAATGAAGACACGTCAAAATATAAGCACTGTCATGCCATTCCATATTTACAGAGTCGTAAAAGCTGCACGGCTTTGTGATAAATAGTAATATTGCAAAAAGCAGTTATCCACTCAAAGCGTGTGCATTGCGTACGGGGGACACGATTCATTTTTTTGTATATTGCATATACACGTACATGGATATATCTTATCGCATTTATATATAAAAATCTTATACAGAAAATGTGACTCGAAATGTCATCTTCAAATCAGTTGATTGATTGGCTACAATTGTAGACAAATGTTATAAAAGCAAGTCTGAGATGATTTTTTGTCGCGGTGTAATTGTATTACAGCTTTTCATGCGACATCGTCAGCTGTGAAAAGCCGGCCTGAAAAAATAATTATCCCGTCGCAGACATAACAAACCTTTATATGCACATATATACACATTGCCCTATTTTTATACCTTGATTGACATGAAACAGCATTTTTTTCATATGAAAACAAGATTTTCATAGTTCAAATGAAGTAAACAGTGACCCACTGCAGATGCTTTCGCATCACTTATGGCATTATGCAACATTGAACGATTTGGTGAACTGGCACGTATTCCTGCAATTAAGATATTGTTTCTAGAGAAATTTAACGTCTTTCAAATAGTTTGGATCATGTTTTGTTCATTAACTTGATGACTTAAAATTTTATACTCTGAAGTAGTCATGCTGGAAACGATCAATTCCCCTGTTTCATTAGAAAAAACTTTTATCACTATTTTAGGTGAACAATGTAAAATGATTTTCAGTTATCTTTATTGTCGTTTTTTTATTTGCACAACCATTACTAAAACATAATTTGTTTAACGCCAATTAACTCCCGTGTGAACATAAAGTATACGGTAGATGAACATTTAAAACATAATGGATTAGTGTTTATAAAGGCAAATTTTATTTGGCTTAGTGGCGCTGAAGTGCATTCCACACTTATAGCGGTCCAATGTTGACATTGATAATGCATAGTACTACCAATATACATGTATTCATTCTTTATTCATTCAAATTAGGCTTGATCAAAAAAGGCATGTATCTATACGAAGTATTTAAAGCTGCACGCCTCCAAAGAGCAAAAATATTTCGATCAAATCAAACCTGAGAAAATGTACTAAGATTTTAGAAAAAGTATAACGATTCAAAATTCTAGTACTAATTTACATGTTATGTGCGATTAATGACCGATTGTTCAGTATTTATTTCTATAGTTTTGCATATTTTGACCTCTTTATGGTAATTTACACGAGCTATAAGTGCCATTGATAATGTGTAAATTGCCTTCTTTTGATAACTTTACAATATTATCCTGTTAATTACATAAATTTTCATTAAAAATTAGCATGAATCTGGAGGCGTGCTGCGTTAACTTTTAAATACGAAACTTTTATGACAATAGAATGGCTTAAACTTTTTTTTGCGAAGCGGTGGTTAATTGCCATTGTCAGATTTAGAAAATCAATCATTTTTATCCTTAACTAGGTACTTCACCTCATGGGCAAAACAATGCCTTAGAAGAGGGACTTGGGCTTGGTATCCAATGCAACAGGTTAACAAACTCGCTTTTAAAGCCGGTAAGAGGCTGAATTCTAATTAACTAGGGCCTAAAACTGTTGACCGATATTAAATCGCACTCTATCAAAATGATAGGGAAATAAATTTGTGACACAAATACTATAAAGAGACACGTAAAGATATGTTTTACCAAATATTTTCCAGACCAATTTGAGTGAAGATGAAAGAACAATTAATTAGTTTTATAACCGTTGAATATCTAGGAGCATTACTGTAAATTTATCTTGTCAATGTATCATAATAACCAAATTATAGAATGTTTACCTGAAAAAAGTCGTTAAAGATCAATTTGTCGTAACAAATATTACATTAGTCAAAGCATAAGCCCTTCAATGTCATTATACAGGTTATAAAGAGAATTAATTTTATCCGTCTTGTTTCTCGCGAAATGGTAACGATAACATATTTTTCATTAGGTGATTTTTTTAAAAGGAGAACAATAAAATGACCAGCTAACACAAACATCGGGGAAAAAAAAAAAGAAAAAATGCTATTACTTTCTTTTCCTAAAACACATTTAAATCGATTTTGGTATATTTTCCAAAAAGTAACTATTTTGCCTTTTATTTGAATTTTCTTAGCTTCTTTTGTTCTTTGGCAATTAGTATAATTACACTGATTAAGTATTTTGTGTTGAAGTCAATGTGTGCTACTTTTAGCTTCCTACGACATATGAATGATACTTTATTTAGTTGTTAAACAATTTACATGCTCTTAATCTGTTAATTTAAGCATAATTGAACAGATGTTTGACCTTTCGAAAGAATATAAAAAATGTTATTAACTTCTGAAGCTTACTTAGCCTTCAAAACCATCATAAAATTTCATAAAATTATATATAACAAAAAGAATTACTTAATATAGATGTACTGCGATACACAGCATGCATGTCTCTACAACATCCTTTTAAAACTGTGTCAGTGAGCTTTTTACAGACATGAATTTGGCATAGGTTTTCCGTTCTTCAATGTTTAAGGGCGACAAAAAAGACGAAACGGCGGATGACAAATAGTCTAGAACGCAAACGCACGTAAATTTTATATATTGGACAATAAATATCATTAAAATCATCATTTAATTTTTATTGTTTTCATATATATATATATACATTGCAACAAAATGTGGATTTTATCAATTTAATTAATTTAACGCGATATCTTATTAAATATTTAAAATCGCACCATCTTTAAATAAATAAAATATCTGAAAATTATTTTTATCAAAATTAAAACATACACAATATTGCAGGTAAATATATCAAAAGAGGCGGGAAAAAATATACACTTAAGTCCGTCTTCAATATACTAAGCTTAATATTTAAACAATCATATTCCTAAATTTTATTCAAGAAATTAATTTTAAAGATATCTCTACATTCAACAATGCATACATCATTATTTTTAATTTACCTTCGTTGAAATCGAAGACAAAATATCCCTTTTAGTGTTAAATCCTTTTACACATACAATTTGAAATATTATTCTAAACCTTAATGTTCATCGCTGAATTATATATAGATGTATTTTTTTAACTAATCCCCAAGCCAAATGTGCCTCGTGTGAGAATATCCGATCATTTTATACTAGTCAAAGAGTGGAGAGCGAATAAAACAGCACATCCACTTCCAGAGATCGATCGTCAATATCAAGTAGAATTGTTCTGCAGTGGAAGGTCTGTTTAAACATAAAGCCTAGGGGCGAGCTATTAATTGTTTTGATTGGTAAATGAAAAGGAAAGCACCTACGCAGCGGTATACCCTGAGGACAAATACTCTCAGCTAGATTTTTGACATTAAAAGTATTTGTGGGTAATCACTTCGATATTGTCTAATGCTTGATTAGATGCAATACACTAGTCAAATGTAGCCTTAAACACTCGAACAATACTCAGTATTTTGACCTTTGGATTTTCAAATCAGACGGAAAAAATAAATATCTGCTTAAAACTGAGATGTTAGTATGCAGGACCATAGAATACAAAAGCAAAACCCTTGAATTTAACCAGCAGTGTTGAAACATAAGTTATGTAAATAATCAGCTCTCCCTTACTTTCGTCTTTCTCGTATTTTCGTGTTTTGTTTTACATTTCATTTGTTTATATCAATCTCGCAGTCTGCACCAAAGAACCGTTTTTATCGCACGGGAAACTAACGTAATACAATTTTGTGTATTTTTGCATTAATAACTGGAATCAGCAATAATATCTCTGTCATAATAAAGTGATATATCAATAATAGATATAAACATTACCAGCCTCTTTTGAGCATTAATATGAACCCTATTTAACTGGTCTTCCTTGAAGGCACATTTTGAACATAAATTGACGATGTATGTCTTTTTTGATACACGTTTGACCAACAAACTAATTACAAAGTAACTGTCATGATACTATGGCAAGTAAAACACTTTAACGCTTAGCCTGCTGGACCCGAACGTGACCAGCCTTTGTCACAAATATAGACCATTGTCAACCTATATATCCGGACAGCCTGACCAAACTTTATTCTACGTTGGTGAATCATTTGTGCTTGCATTGTGATATTAATATCCCTTACACATTGAACAGACTAAATGGACAAAGCCATTACACGAACACACAAGATTAAGCGTTAATACAGCTAAACTTGGAATACTTTTCAATCATATACAATAAATTTTATATTAAAAAAACAGCATATACATTAAAGCTAGGTCATTCTTGAAGTGTGGGCATTATTTTACGTGTCTGGGATATTAATGTAATAACAATACCAACTATCATATCAAATAAAAGATGTATAAATTCAAAAAGAATAAATTAATAAATGAGTATTCATTTTGACCGTGAACCAGGGCTGACATCATTTATTATATATTATTGCTTCACTCTCGAATAAGGAGTTCAGATTGGGAAAAAATAACCTCTCTCATATGACAAAATGTAATATATATAGATATTACACAAATTGCGGGAAAATACGTTTAAGGGTAAAAAGGCTGTGTATTTGCTGTCTGTAGATTGTAAAGTTACTATTTATTTTGTAATTGAATAATTTACAGAATACTTAGAATGAAAGAATTGTTGAGGTAGCGTGAATTCATCCTCCAGCTAATAAAATCAGCTGCGGAATATTCTGACACGTAATTAGTTATGTAATATTAATTTTCATAGTTTTATATGTAAAAAATGACAAGAAACTATCATAAGGTTATGAAAACAGCACAGCTTTACTGGTTTTAGATTTTTATAAAATATTTCATCTGATAAAGCTTAATTCACTTCAATGACGATATTAATCGGATTATTCGTCAATATTAACCAACTAATTAGAACTTAATCTGTGTCAGGACTCCGCATTGGTAAGCAATCGTAACAAATCATACTAAAACGAACTAAATCATACGAAGTTAAATTACACCTAAAGATTCATGGAACGCTGGTTTTGAGAATTCGTACCTTTCCCGGACAATTTACTAGAGATTGCTCATAAAGAGAAAATATTGAGAAAAAATATATGATCATCATCTTCAAGCGATCTGATGGTTGATTATGTTTATTTCTTTTCAACCTTTACAAGCCTTTTTCCACTTTTTGATGCATAGCTAAGTCATAACGTATATACTGCACATAAAAATGTCAACTTAGGAGCTACTCGTAGTCAATATAATGTGTCCCTACATGTTCAGCTTATTGTCCACTCTTTGATTTTAAAGGCTGTCTTGTTAGCTAGTAATAACCAACGACTTCTTATAAACATTTCAATGTATCCGTTATATACAGTTATAATTTGTAATTCCTATATCGTTAATATTTAGGATGAATTATATCTGACCAGATATCTACAGTTTAGCCGACATAAAAACTTATAATCTTAAAAAAATATTCTTCAATTCTTTGATTAAAACATCAAGTATCATGCTTGGTAAAATGGAAACTGTGCTTTTAAAGAGATTCTGAATACGTGTATAAACATAAATAAAACATACCGTGTTTAAATTTGCTAATCGATGCTGTGAGGAAGATTTCAATGTTGCTTTTCATCAACTTGTGTCTGTAAAATGCATTTTCACTTCACAGAAAACTCAATTATGACATTCAGCTTGAAGTGAAAAAGCGAAATATAAAAGAAGAGGTTTTAATGCCAGCGATCGATTCGACAGAAAAAATCACAAGAAGACGTTCTGCTTTTGAACAAACCATTGAAAAGAGTGCCGCTGGGTTAAGTATAAATTATTCATAAAGCTGTAGAAAAGAGAAATGATGAGCCTTCGTCAGTCAGCAAATAACTCTATGTTATGGATGTTGTTGGTGATAAATACACAATTGCTGTTAAGTGTCATCAATGTATACATTTACAGTTTCATAAAATATAAATAATCAATATCTGATAAGAAAATGATATTATATTTAGAAAATCTAGGGAAAAAACAGCATGGACATGACAATATGTTTGGCAAAATATATTATGGAAATTTAAATTGTACATGAATATTTCATCAACAAAATGGGTCATATTATTGAATTGAATGAGCATCTATGTGACATGCCTTTTTGGTATACCACTTTTCTTCTCAAGGAAAATGCTGATAAATAACAATATATAACATGATGATAAGTTAACCAGGCTAATCAACTTAAAAACAGACGTCATTTTCTCATTATAGTAATCAAAATTATTAGAAAATTCTGCGTGTGATTATAAAGAAACACCTTTCGTCGTACATTTAACGTGCGGACACAATGTCAAGTTACAGTTATGCTTTACTTATTAAATTGCAAGTGTCGCCAGTACACTCTGAGTCACGCATATTACTAGCATGAAAACAGATTGCCAGATTTAACGTAACACATTGTTATCAATATTGCATGCGGTACTACGAATATCCACGACCCGCTGCAATTCTGGACTTGCTGCGCTGACTAGACGTGTTGCACTATTGGTTTTGCTCCACAATTTCAACCTGCTGAGCAAGCTTGACTTGCTGCGCTCTTTTGACTTGCTGCACTTCCTGGCTTTGCCACAGTTATAGACTTGCTTGCATAAAAAATGAAAAAAATAATAAAGCCAAAAATGTCTTCTTGAAGTCGCTGCTTTGTTACTTAAATTTTAACATGTTTTGTTCATAAATGAGTTATATTGACATAAACTTGAGAAATAAGACTTCTTAAAAAGTATAGGTGAATACGGCAATCGTTTATCTCTTCTTATTTTTAAAATGTGACATTTAACAGAAACTACTTAAAAAGCGTAAACGAGTGCTTATTTAAATATCAAAATTAATGTTTTTCATTTATTCATTGACAATCCTTAAACTTGTTTGCTCAATAAAGTTTTAAATTAGTACTAGAGATTATTATTTCCAAGCTATTCTATATATGAATATTTTGTTATAGAGAAACGTTATAAAAGACATGTTCAGTGTGCTGAAAACATCGTTAACTTCGTGGAAGATTGATTAAATTACTTCAGAGGCAACAATGATGCCACATAATGGGATGATATGAAATTCCTCAGAGATTTGTAATTCAATTATACATCCATGTGTAAATCATGCCACTAAATTGATGTTATTTGAAGTAAAAAAATTACTTAGCCTGGCGTTATTATTCAATCGAATATCAAAGCTACCTTCCCGTGGATTAAAGAAATCTGTTGTTTTTTTCTATTTTTTGTACAAGATGCATTGATGATGTATGCCATGTCGTGGCATTTGAAATTTTTGCAGAATCACACGTTTTTCTGGGACATTTATGAGAGTTTTTTTTTCATTTCTCATATCCCTTTTGCTCTTATTACTGGTTTATACGTTAATTTGGAAAATGTGTGTTCAATTTTTGCTTCAGTCTTACATTACTTTATTTAATGGAATTTTGAATATCATTCAATTTTTAACATTTGTTAAAAAGTGATAAATTGTTGTTCCTCAAATATTCTATACAGTACAGTTGATGTACCAATGTCCACATTAGAATAGATTTTTTTGGTGGTTTACACGTGTACTAAATTTGGAGAAAATTCTTTTAATTTGAGCAAGAAGTATTGCTGATTATTAGAGTCTTTTTTAAATAGAACGGACTTTATGCTTAAATGAAATAACATTAAATGCTGAACATTTATACTCGCTATTTTATACAGAAAATACTATCATAAAAAAGAAATGAAAAAGAAAAGAATTGTTTTCGTTTTGTTTTGCTTCACTCGTTTTTACTTATATGTTCTACATGTATATTTCAGTCAGTCTGATTGATATGTAAAGAATGTAAAGTTCATTTAAGGGTATCTTTATTCATCACAACAGTTAAATACATCGAATGAAACAGTGTTTAAAAAACCAACAACGTGCATGAATAAAAACGGAATACTGTAAAACTATGTTAAATATTGTAAAAGTCAGTTTAATATGCTCAATTTGTGACCGAAATTTTCTCCGGAAGGTTTTGTCAGGTTCTCTTGACACACCTGCTACACACAATATTATATAAAACGCAGACTCTGTTTGATAGTGTATGTACGTGAGAAATAATGTAATGTGCAACTAAGCCCATGCTTTTTTAATAGATTACGAATTCGAAAAAAATATCAAAGAAAGATCGTTCATTCTTGTCTTACACAATATTCTAAGGATAACTGTATATATTATCAATTAGTGACAGGTATCAAATAATGATTGTAA